TTAATTGACTAGAAATTTGTGCTGATAATACGTTTTGAACTAGAGAAAATAGAGATAAAAGCAAGGGAGAGTCGTAATTTTTATATGTTTTTAGGATAAAGTTTATTTGTTAGAATGATTTGACAAAAAAGTTTGACATAATTGCATGTGGCAATTAATAATTGGATGAAAATGTTGACTGTATTTTAAACTGTCCAATGATAAAATGTCACGTTATATTGTGTCAAACTTTATGTTAACTTTGATGTTAATGTAGCATGATTGATGTTTTTATTATAATGATGAACCTATATGTATAGAATTCCAATTTGAGTTACAAATCGATTAAGTACGAACTTTTATTGTCTTAATTAAATGAGTATATTCAATTGAGACTTTTAATAACTTTTTAAAATTTAATAGGTTTAGAAGTATTCAATGTAAACTTTGTATACTCTCTAAAAGTAATGGTGTATTCAATCGAGACTTTTATAGATTTTTAAATTTTTTTTTAAAAATCATGATATATTCAATTAAAATTTTTTAGAAGTCTTCATAAGTTTTAGAGTATTCAAATTTTAATAACTTTTAGAAACTTTTATAAAAAAAAATATTCGAGGTACTAACATTTAAGCAAAAAGTACTCATATAAAATCTCAAAATTTTTCTTTCATTAATCACAAGATTTTGGAAGACTTTCATGAAAACAATTATTATGTATTTTTTTCAATATTTTTCTTTCTTTTTTTCCTTCTACGAACATTAGAATTAGAATTAGAATTTATTTTTTTCTATTCATCCATCTCTCTCTTATTGTTTATTTCTATTTTCTAAAAAAAAAAAAATTAAATTGGATTCTTATAACTTTTTTCCATTAATTTTTTTGTGAAATATATATATTTTTTATTTAATTATAAAATTTTATATGGCAAAAATATATTATTTTTTTATTATTTTTAAAGGTACATCATATTAATAATATTGAATAGTAAAATTATTTTTTATCATATTTATATGTATAATTTTGATTATTATTTATTTAATAAGGTCTCTAATTTTTCGTATTTTAAAAATAATTTTTTATTTTATGGGGAGTGGAAGGGGAAATGGAAGGAAAATTGTTTCACATTATTACATCAGATCCACGTGAATTCTACTTCAAATAGAAGTCCTCAAAAGTCATTTAAATTTACAAAAGTCTATAAAAAATTTAAAATGAAAATCTATAGAAGTCGACTTCTACTAATTCCATACAAATTTGCAAAAAATCCACGAAATTCATCATTTGAAAAAGTCCATCAAAATTTTCAAAAATCTCAATTGAATACACCATTTTAAAGTTATAAATTGATCAAAACTTCTATAGTAAATAAAACTCATATAAATATTTGATAAGGCTAAATAGTCATTAAGAACTATTTCATGATTTTATAAAAAGGACGACTTACTACTTAAATACTTTCATAAATATTTGTTCCACAATCTAGTTACCCAACATTTATTGTGACCACGATAATTGATACACCAGAGGTGTGTGCGCTTCCTAGTCCACTCATACAACGGAAAGGCCTATTAATGCTCTATCGCTTACATCGAATATGGAACGAACTGCTTGCATCGAATATGGAAAGAGAACTAACTATCCCACGTGTATTATTGTATCATCGCAAAATATATATATATATATAATAATAATAATAATAATAATAATAATAATAATAAAAAAGAAAAAAATTACTCTAATTTTCATTTTTTAGCCAGCTTTTTCTTCATATATTTGTGCTATACATGCGCTTATGAGCTGTATCTATGATTCTGTGCTTATGTGCTACATTTAATTCCAGTTCCAATGTTAGGGTTTTCCTTTGGATGACTATTTTTTCCCGTAAATCTTTGTGAGTTTGAATGAACGGCAGACCAACAGCTTCTTGGCCAAGGAGTTGAAACGTATGCGTTTGTGAGAAATTTTGATGGTTTTGTTTGTTTTATGTTTCTTCTGATACTTGTGGTTTAAGGACTATGATTGCGAATCGATTCGATCGGCTTTGATCTAGTCAAATCTCATATCATTTGATTGAAATTGAAGTTAATAAAACTAATTAATGCTACTGGGTTTTGCTTCAAATGAACCGTGGATAAACTCAACAAAACTTAAGATGCATTGTACTGCATTTATTTTGTGTCTCATCTCTGTGTGAGCGCGTCTGTGTTTCATTTCGGCATTTGTTTGTGGAGAGGGACAAATGTGTACTGGGAATCTATCTTTTGGATTTATTCTTATTATTTACTTGGTTGTTGGCTGTTGCAATGGTCTTCGTTTGGGTATAGAGTTATAGATAAAGTTAATCGGGAAATAATACTAACCATCGATGTATTTTCTTTTCAGGCTAGAGTTTAGGAGCAGAGATTGTTGATATTTTGACATAAGGCTCTTTGTGGTTGGTCGAGTTACTGTTGGGTGTGGATTATATATTTGTCATTCTTGTACTTTTTTGTGGTTAAAGGATGACTAGACAACAAGGTGGCAAGGAGAAGAAAGATGATAAATCTTCTTTGCACAAAAGTGTTGACGTTGTGCAAAGAAAATCAGTTTTTGGAAAATATTCTGAGGCAGAAATGTTAGCTCTGCTGAAAGGGCTTGCTATGGATCCTTGTCAGCCACAATTTTCTCTGGAGAAAACACAGCCACTGCGGAATGAGATTCTTAGGCTGCGAAAAGTTATGGTTCTCAATGAAACTGAAATTCCTCCTTGGGTAAGGTCATAAGCATTCTTCTCCTTTTGTTGCATAATTTGTGATTGATATGATCTAAGCTTGTCATACTCTGTACTGTTCAATTAGAACTGGTATCTGGCCTCCTTTGCTAGGATTTGCTACAAGACATGCCAATGTTGTTGCTTCTCGTTTCCCTCCCAAACTCTCATTTCCCTTGATTCTGAACCTTGCTACTGTACAATTACAGAGAAAAGGTTTTTGGACTGCCAACTATTGGCCAAAACTAGTTTAACCTTCAATCATGTAGAAGCAAAGTTCAATTGGACCAGGTTTTTGAAAAGAGAGTTGGTCAATACTACTTATAAAGAATGAAAAGTAGGTCGAGTGAAATATGTTGTAATGCTCCAAAAATATCATATTTACCAAGCAAAAACGTTGCGACATAGATTCCAAACAAGTATATCAAAACCATTTTATTATTAAAATCTATTCATTCAAAAAACTAGCAAAAATTATGTTCTTGCAGCTGGCTAGTCCAAAAACTTGGTACCTGCACTATTTTTGTCATTATGTTTCTCTGCACCGTTCTACCTGCACCTAATATTTATTTTCTTTCTTCGCTATGATTCCTTTTAGTCTTGAGCTGCCTTAATGATACATTTGGAATTACTAATTTAGCATTTGAGCAAAATCACGTGCAACTTAAGAAATGAATAAAATAAATAAATAATAATAATAATAAAATAAAGGTTGCAAGGCTATGTACTTGTTTTGATTGGACCTTGTTGTTGCTACAATTATCTGTCCGGTGTCAGAAATGGAAAATTTTATTTAATACGAATAGATTTATCTTAAAAAAATAATAATTTAAGATTAAGGTCTTAATTTTGTATATTGAAACAATATAACTTGTATTGTCATTTTCTGAAGGGCTATATTGAAGTTGTTCAATATTGGTTAAATGTTAGATTAGAAAACTAATATAATAGACTAAGCTCGAAATGTTATAGTGAGAATTTGTCTCAAGCATAAGTTTAAGTATCGTATATCGAGCCAAGTAGTACAAGAGTTGTAATGGAAATAAATTGGGCTCATCATTGAGATAGTCAATAACAACTGTTCTTAAAAATTGGGTTTCATCTACGTGAATCCTTTATTATTACTCTTTTAGGTTCCTCACTACATCTAGGAGAAGATCTCTAGCAACAATATCCTTAGAACTTACATGTCATGTTAGTTAGAGTTTACCTCTTTCTTATCTAATATGTTCTACGAAGATCGTTTCTGATTTAGGAGCGTAATAATTTGATAACGAACAGTTGAAGAACTAGAAAAGAAAGGGGGGTCCAAGAAGAAAAGAAGAAATTAGGGCAAAGAAAAATCAATTGATTCATATAATCAAGGGTACCTATTACAATAACTAAGTCCTTTATGTATTGAGCAAATAATCTAAAATTAATAAAATTTCTAATAAATTAGCATTTAATCAAAACATTAAAACTAACCTAATCTAATTTAAGCAAACATAATTTGAATTAAACTCTAATTTAAAATGATATGTAAATCCTATCTTTATTCTATCTCTATCTCCATGAGTATCACTTATGATGCACCAACACGGACATATGTGTCCGATACGACACGATTTTTAAAAAAAGTACGAACATGACACATCGTTAACACGTCAATTAAATTCTTTACAATTTTTCATTTATATAGTATAAACTTAGCTTTATACTTGTTATTATTATTATTATTATTATTATTTTTGTTGTTGTTGAAACCTCTTAAATATGAGTACCTTTTTGTTATTTACCAATAATTTTGAGTTAAAAATATATAATATTTCTAGTAAAAAAAGAAAAAATGGTTATGGTAGACCGGTAGTGTTCGAGGAGTGTCGGTATGTCGGACAAAGACACGCTACCCTAGTTGAAGTGTCCGTGTTATGATGAGTATTACTCTCACGAATATTTGTCTTTTTAGTTCTATGCTAAATATGCCCTAAGCCCCTAACCACTTAAAAGTATTCTCATAACTTATCTTAAATATTGTCACTTCAACTTGTAGGCATATATTTTCATTTTTATTTTAGCCATTCTAGTATAGCCACAAATCTATCCTTATGCACAGCATGTCTGATAATTGCTGTCATTTTAATCTTCTGGAGATATGCTGCACATTTTCCTTAGATGTGGACTCATTCTTTTCTTGTGCGACTTGTTGAAGATAGAGTCATTAATTACTAATGTGAAAGTTGGTGCTGATTTTGTTCAAAGAGAGTGCATGAGTCTCATTTTAATGCTGAAGTAATTAGGATTTGATGGTGTCTCCAAAGGGTAACTACATATGTCACCACATGTAATTGAATATTTAAAATGTGATTTTTGATTCGTTATGTATGAGACTCATCACAAAATATGTGACTAGTTTTTCATTGTTTGTTAATGCAACATCCTCCTCCTTCATTCGGATTTGGGACTAATCTATGAAGATATAAGTAAAGTTAGGTGGTTGGGGCATGTTCTTATATACATAAAAATGTTCTTATTCACAAGAATGGTTTGAAACGTAGTCAAACTTTTGCTTATGGTGCATTTTCATCTTTACAGCACTATACAAACACTCCTACTAAGGCACCACGTTCGTGTCAGATATGCCTCGTGTAGTGTCGTGTCGTGTCATGTCTTTTCGGACATCAACACTCAAACACTAGAAGACATATGTCCAACACCCTATCTGGTGTGTCCTATGCATTTTTCTTTTTGTGATATGGTTACATACAGTTTAGCTCATAGTTGTTTTAACATTACAAATAGTTATTACATACTTTGTGATGCACTCCAAATGATGACCTTATCAAATAGAAAGCTGTGAATGTATCGAACTTATTTTTTTGATAGTGTAACGCATGGAAATAAATAGAAGATGATGTTAGTAAGCTTGTGGTAGAAATTGTTTTAGGCTCTGTTTCTCCCAAAATACATATTCCACACTTTAGCGTTTGGTAGTTTTCCACATTTTAGCGTTTGGTAGTTTTGGTAGAGCTCCACACCAGAAATTGTCAGATTTCCTGCCAACTTTGGATGGGATGCACCACAGCTGTCTCGTTTATTTGGCTATCTGCAAAACAGACACTGATTTGTTTCAGGAATAATGAGGGGTCGGTCTTGTGTTTGAAACGAAATAACTATAGATGGCTTAGAAAAATATACACGTTTATTAAGGTAAAATTTTGGTTAGGGGAAAAGACTTTGTTCTTCCTATATTTTTCTTTGTCTGTGTATTGAATTTATCAATTACCTTCTCTTAAGTGGTATTTTATTGGATTTATAGAAAGGTGGAAGGGAGATCGACACTTGATGGTTGGGGTTAATGGCGGGATATGGCTTTCTGTTTATAAGCTGGTTGACTATATCACATAGCAAACGTTTCACCCATCCGTTTTTGGAAATTGTTTCAGAAGGAATGTACCTATGGGAACTTGTGCTTACTGTTGCATCTTGTCTGTTGAGCTACTTTTCCATTCCTAGGCTTCTGTTTGGCTTGAATGCTTACCACATTGCTAACACGTGTGAGCAGCTTCAAGGCAGGACGCCTGAATAAGTTCTTATGCGGGTGTGTTTGGTGCAACTTTACTCAGCTTAACTTCTGCCATTCGTTACCTAACTCACTTAATATCAATTTGGGATCTGCCATCATGTCGAGCCAAGGGTGAGCTTATTTGCCTTTAGTGAATCTAGCTAGTTTTGCCCCGCCATGATTATATTAAATCTTGGATCCTAACTAGGATGGAGCCAAGCGGCATACCTTGGCAAATAATTGGTCATACTTGTAAGCTCTTATCTATAATCGATCAACTTGAGGGCTGAGTCAAATGTTGGCCATATGTTGAAGGGTGTACCAGTGCACCCAAAAAATTAGTAAATGAAAAATGTTATCCTAGATGAAGGAAAACTAATTCAATCTAGAGAAAGTTGCATTTTCTATTTAGAGATCGGAAAATAATTTCCATAACCGACATGAAATATAGACACACCACTTAATTACTACCGACCTCTACTGTAACTATTATTTATTACCCGCCTATATTGGTAGAAACAGACAACGAAACAAAAGAATGGATTAGTTGATAAGGACCTTATGGAGGACATAGTATTCATTGGTGAAAAGTAGATGAAATTATATCAATTGAAGTTGTCATTGCAGGCGACATGGATAATTTTGTGAGTGTTTTGAGCCACAAATAGGATTATAGGATTAGCTTTAAGGTGCAATTTCAGGAGGATATGGGGAGATAGCATGATGCAATGCTTTTCCTTTGGAAATTCATTCAACTCAGATTCCACTACTTCTTTTATTTGATAGCTGAGAATTTCATGGTATGCTTTTTTCCCACCTTTGCTTTGTGGATACGAGGGTGAAACTTGTGCATCGACAGTCCCATGGTGTTCCATTGTGTCTCAAGGTATGTCAGGTTCTGGTACTTCAAGTTTATTGGGAGCATCCGTCGAGAAAATGATTGCCCAGCTCACATCCTTGGTGAAAAAGTTTAGGAGAAAATATTTATAGAAAGATGTGCATAAAACTTTTTACTTTTAGACCTTGATCGAAATGGAGTAAATTATTTTCTTGGCAGGGGGAGAGATTGCTCAACATTTAGATCCATGAAGTCATTCCTACAGAGAATATGACCTCACTCACAATGCAGAAATTTGGTTTTAGATTGGAGGGTGAAATGGTGGTACCTAAAGGGTGAGAAGTTAACCTCATTCAAAGACAAGGAGGTTGGACAAGCTAGTTGTGATTTAGTCGATAGACCTTATATTATCTAGGATAGAATAACTAAGACCTTTGAAGCATGAATAGTCCTGGTATAGTGGAGTATCAGTCCAACATGTATTGGACTCTCGAGGCATGTTTTTGATACGTTACGTAATATGTCTTATATTTTTTAAAATTTGACACCTAAGCAACACTTTCTTAACACGCCTTGGACATGTGCTATCTAAGTTTCATGTTATTATGGTTCCCATTGTATGGGACTTAAATCCCACATTGAAGGTATGGGCTTTCGGTGTATGGTTTATATAGATTTGGGTTCTCCAACTTTAGTAGCTAACTTTTGAGGTACGGCTTTTTCAAGATCTATATCAATGGTATAGAGTAGGCATCATGTCTCCCAGTTGCAATCGAGCAGCGCGAATGGTGATGTTGGTATAACAATGTTCATTCGGGACTAGTCATGGGCTAGCACAAAGTTAGTCCGACGTTGGCGCAAGGATCGCGAAGCGTGGTGGTGGATTATTATGGTTCCCATTGTATAGGATTTGAATCCCACATCGAAAGTATGGACTTTTGGCGTATGGTGTATATAGACTTGGGTTCTCCAATTTCTATAACTAGTTTTTGAGGTGTAGCTCTTCCAAGATCTATATCACATGTACTATATTTCTATATTTTTATAACTTTATTGACGTTTGAGGGACATGCCCTCAAGACGTTAAGAACACAAAAAGCTCCAATTTGTGAAATCTGGACTATAAAATTGGATAAAAAATTTTAATTATTAAAATTTTAAGTTTTAACATTAGAAAAGTTCTACGAACTTCATTTCACATTTATGTTATGTACATTGTATGCATTTTTAGTAAGCCCTAATATAAGTATTAAAGTATATTATAGTAATTAAATTAATAACAAAAACTACTGTTCTCATTCAAAAGATTTTACCAGCAAACCATTTAATGAAGGATATTGTCTTGGCAGACGTGTCTAATATCAGAATCACCGTGAAACTAGAGTTGTGGATAGAATCTAGAAAGAAAAGGATTCAAAACTAGTCAAATTAAGATTGAGCTCATAGAGGGTGTGGAAGTACTTGCAGAGAGGATCGTAGGGACTGGAGGTTAGGAGATACATTTAAGAGCAATTATTGATTTGGGCAATTATTCACAAGGAAATGGAGATGACCCTTATTTTAGAGGGTAGAAGAAGAGGATCTATATAGCTGATCGCGCATATAAGTACAGGGAAGGCCCTTTGGGTTGAGCTAATGTGCAGTACATGTAATTTGACGGTTAAGATATCTAAAACATGTTTTGTAGTTGAGAATCCTATAAATTTAAAATATGAATAGAGGTGACTCCTAACAATTTAGCTGGTAATATAATAAATCTTAAATAGTTTACAAATATGTACACAATTTCATTAAATAAGTGACAGCAACTCTTGAACCTAGGACTTTTGCCCACTCTGGTGTCATGTTGAACCACTAGATCTAAAGTTTAAGCCTTTAGACATGGCTACATGAATATCATTTAAATATTATTTTCAACGCAATTAATTCATCTATTTGCAAAACATAGTTTTAATATCAAAAGTACAAGGCATTAAGGCCTTCTAAGGCTAAACTCTAAAAAGGCCCACAGTTTTGTGAAGTGAAGGGCATATATAATTGGGACTATAGTTCTCCATACATGCAGAAATGTTATAGAAGTCTTCAGTACACCGAATATTTGTTGATTTACCATCATTTTGGACAAGTTTATTCCCCATCTTTTTCTATCCTAAACTTGTAGGTTCTGCAGCAATGCTCTAAGGTGGATTCTGTTTTACACTGACCATTATACGTGGGATTCCATTTCCATTAAATCTTGTCCTTATTCTTTATAATACTTGGCATGAAAAATGAATCTCTTCCTCCTCCTCACAGAGAAAGCGTAAACTCCAGCGGTTTGTTAAAGATAAGCTGGGAGCTCCTGGATATTCCTTGCCCAACCAACAAAATGGCACAAAACTGAGAAGGGGGCAGCTGTCCCATGTCTCTTCTATTTCATGCTTGCTCAATTCGGTTAACACTACGGAATGCTTTGGGCATAAAATTCTGTCTGACTCTCGTAGTTCAAGTAGTTTATTGACATTTGAGGATACATTGCCAGAGAAACAGTTGTACCGAGAATCCTTCTTCCTGGATGATGTAGTAGATAGGAGTTTCCCCAGCAAAGATATATCTCAGATAGTAGATTATGACGAATCTGCAAATTGTTTGATCACTTTGAGTCCAGAAAACCTAACTGTTAATGAGGCACCATCTCTGGATCTTAATGATGCAATTCGATATTTGAATTCAACGACACTTCATGGGGCAAAGAGGAACCACCTTCAGCCACCTCGCAAATCAATCAGGTTGCTGAATTTCATTGGTGATCATCTTGAGAATAAGGTTGTTCCTGTTGGGCCTCGGTTCCAGGCTGATGTTCCTGAGTGGAATGGTCCTATCAGAATTAAAAATTCTTCCGAGAATTCCCGGTGGTTGGGCTCTAGAGTTTGGCCAATTGAAATTGGAAATGCGAAAAGCACCGGCAGAAAAGTAGGAAAAGGAAGACCAAACTCCTGCCGCTGTGTCTCTCCAGGATCTGATGATTGTATTAGAAACCACATTCTGGAGAAAAGATTAATTTTGCAATGTGATCTTGGACCTGCTTTTTTTAGTTGGAACTTCGATGAGATGGGAGAACAAGTTTCAAGTCCATGGACTTTGAAGGAACGGAAAATTTTTGAGTCATTGTTAAAAATGAAACCACTCTCGAGTAGAAACAACTTTATGAAGCGTGCTTTGATGCGTTTCCCAAAAAAAAGTAGTCAAGAGATTGTCCACTATTACTTCACTGTTTTTATTCCGCAGCGTATGAGCCAGCAGAGGAGGTTGTCCATGAAACAAGTTGACACTGATAATGAGGAGGAGGATGATTTTAATGACATAAGTGTGCAGAGATGTGAAGGAAGCCGTGCCGTCATCAACAATTCCAAAGATGTAAAGACTCGATATTTACGCGGTGGTTGTTGACAACATTGAACACCGTCCAGTTGGAAGGTTCATCATGTAGTCTTGTATCTTTATACCTTTTTGTGTTTTTCTCCTAGGCATACCTGAGGTTTTTTTTCTTTTTGCGTTTCAAAGAATACACATCAACATTCTCAGCCCTTAGATTTTGATCATCTCGATAATGTCAATGCTTCTCTCAACAAATTTTCTGTTGAACATACTGTTAGTTGCTTCCAAAGGCTTTTTAATCGTGTCCTGAAAGCCGTGGAGAGATTGCTTTAGTATGAACTCATTTCCAGCTTCTCATTGTTGCCGAAGCAAAACCTTTTTTCTTCTCATTACAGTTTGGTGCTCAAACCCTGTTAGAACCAGTGATTAATGAAAATTGTTCTTGTTCATGTTGTTTGTAAATTGGGTGTGAATTTTTCCTTACCTCTGCCAGTTGCAATTTCTTTGCAGTAAGCTTTTATATGAATCTGAAAATTTATTTTGTATGAGTAGGTTTTCCTTTAT